TTTCATCATGTGCACGGTTCCCAGCCTCACGCACTGGTGGTGGTCAGTATGGTTGTCATCTTTGTGTATTAGGCACCAACACTTGATTTTACTGTCTTGGGTAAATCGCCAGATTGTTAGGATTTTGGTCTTGTTTTAATAACTGGGGAAACAAAATCTCTTTCCTTGGGAAATTATTAAAATATCCTTAGTTTGAGAGCTGCACTTGAAATGAAACAATTTAGCACAAGATAGCATTCATTATCAGCAGTTGTCACCAATGGCCTGTACTGGGGGGAATTAGTACATTTCTCTTTTCCAGAGAGCACTTTGCTTCCTTCTGAATCCAGAACAAAAGATTGCTGTGAGCCCTTTGTTTGTGTATCAGTGGATCCAAGCTGACTGAACATTTGGGGGAGGGAGAAGACCGCACTAAAGGCTGTCCTTCTCTTACAATAATGGTTTCTTAGGGTCTTTTTCACTTTGGCTTTTGTGGTACTTTTAAAAATTTTATTTTTGTGACCTCCGACTTTCTGGACTTTCCCAGTGTCAATTGAGACTCCATTTACAGGACGTGGTTTAATTTTTTTGTAACTCTTGTTGTAAGTTGGGTGAAGGTTGACAGAGCAGATCCATTTTCCAGTCAACATTTTATACACATCCTGTTTTATGTCAGCTCCAATCCCCACCATGTAACTTATCCCACTTGTTCATGTTTGCTGTTTTTGCTCCTCTTATACTGACCCATCCGAATGTGTCCTTAGTTAAATGCTGCCCTTTTGATCTCAAATGAATGATTATTCTTAGGAGTACTTATCAATTCCTACCGTTAGTGTCAATTCCTACCGTTAGTGTTCCCCTGTAGACCTGTCTATTTGACTGAAAATTGTGGGGGTGGAGAGAGGTTGTGCCAACTAAGGGCCATAGTCTGTCTAGCCAGGAAGCTTGGTCTATTTTTATGATTTTGTGTTTCATTTCAGATTTCTTCCTCCTCTATCCAGGACCTTCAGAGCAATGGTAGTGGCAGCCACACACTTCTTTTAGGGTTCATCTACAATCATTTCAGCTATCTCCTTGTGAAATTCACAGGGCCATATCTTTTTGTACTAATGTGACAATTACAGAAAAATTAACCAACCCAACTGCCCCCAAACCAAATCCACTCTCCCCCACAAATGAAAGTGATTATTTAAAAGTAATTTCCAATTGCCATATGAATCTCCCTGCTAAAACATGGAAGTTTTCCTCCTCTCATTTAATCTCTCTTTAGAAGTAGGTTGCTTATTAATGGCTGCTTTATTCCAGACTTGGTGCTATCAACTCTTAATTTCAAAAACCCTCCCTCCCCTTCCCCCTTCAAATCTTGTACCATGTCAAGTCTTACTTGGCTTGACTTTATCAGGCTATTCTGGTAATGTGGTGAGTTACTTACTGGGCTGCTAACTACAAGGTCAGCAGTTTGAACCCACAAGCCCTTTTGTAGGAAAAAGATGGGGGGTTTTCTGTTTCTTTAAAGATTGATAGCTTCAGAAACCCACAGGAGCAATTCTACTCTGCCACAGGGTTGCTAGGACTCAGAATTGATAGCAGTGAGTTTGTTTGGGTCCCTGGGTGGTGTAAATGGTTTGCTCTCAGGCTGCTAACCTAAAGGTCAGTGACTCAAAATACTCATTAGCACTTTGAAAGAAAGGTGTGGTGATCTACTTTGGTAAAGATAATAGCCACTATCCGAAAGAATAGTGTCTGGGCCAAGTGAGTATCAGCTAGGTGCACCCAGATGGAGCATACCAGCCCATGTGATCTAAGGATTGTAAATATTAAATCCAGCATCAGAGGAGGGAATTCTATTAAAGCTTAAATTCTGAGCACCCAGTTTACAGAAGGCTATGGATGACAGTGAAAACCCAAAGTCCATTTGGAGAGCAGCCTCCATGTGGATTAAGCTTCCATTGAACCTCTCTCAAACCTGTGAATAGTCTTGTCCTCAGACAGAGTGCCTTGGAAAGTGCATTACTGCAGATACAGTTAGGTTAAAATGTAAACATATTATCATTTGTTTTCCTTTTGACTCATTTTTAACTGAGTCATTTTCTCCTTTCTTTTGGATTGAGGCTTTTCTCTGTTTTATTTTGTTATCATTGTTGGGGGTTTTGTTTTACTTTCTTTTTATGGAATCCAGGATAGGTAATACATAGAGACAGAAACTAAGTTAATAGTTCCTTTGAGTTATGACAGGAGAGGTTGGGGAGTGATGGAGAGCTGATAATAATGGGTACAAGAATGAAGAAAATGTTCTAAAATTGGTTGTGGTGATGATTACACAACTCTTTGAATATATTTAAACCATTTAACTGTGTTGGGTGTAAATTATATGCCAGGAAGACTGTTAAAAAAAAATTATAGCCAAGGAAACCCTATGGAGCAGTTCTACTCTGTTATCACATGGAGTCACCACGAATTACCACGAGTCAGAACCTACCTCACGGCAATGGGTGTGGGAATTGTTTTTGTTGTTGATATTTATTCGCATTTCCAGTCAGTATTCAGATATTCACTTGAGTTTCTAGGTTATTAAAATAAAAGCTAAATCTGGTGATGATTACAACTCTTAATATGATTGAATAATGAAGTTATATGATATGTGCATTGTATGTCAATAAAACTATTAAAATAGCTAAATCCTAGGAGTCTGCTAGATTTCAGTAGTCTAATTCTACTATGATATAATAATTTAGATAGTAGCAGGGAGGATATTAACATTAGTAGTTGACCTTAATTTTTTTTCTTTGTAAATATGTTGCTGCCCCAAATTTCTATTTTTCCTTCCCAGAAATCATCAGTGAGGTTATGGACCTACAAAAATGTGCTGTAAAGGGGAGTTGCTTCAAGTGTTTTTGTCTTTGTTTTTCATTCCTAACTGTATATAGATATAGATAACTTAAATGCAAAATAGTCTTAATAACAACAAAAGTATAGATTTTGTAACCCCAAATTCTTATTCCCCAGAGGCACTTTCCAATTTTTTGACTGTTTGTTTTCTACCCCCTATATTTATTATCTGTTAGCTTTTTACTATGAAAGATGATAATTTAGCCCTCTCTGGTCTCCCTTCTTCCATTTACACAGTGAGAGCTTTTCCCTCAGATTCAGTTCGAGTGTTTGAGTGTTCCGGGCAGTGTGGTTATTCAGCACTGAGCCATGATTCCCACAGTGTAGTCTCAGGATGCCAGTGGATTCCCAAGACCTGCAGGGAGTTCAGGATGTTTTCATGAAAAGACCAAGATGTTTTTGCCCTTTTTACTCTTACTCTTTCATAAGTGGGTAGTGGAGTTTTCTAGAGACTGTGGTAATATGATGATGTCATTATTGTGATAATGAATGGAATGTATGCTTGTGATCTTTGTTTTCTAGAATTTACTCATAACTTAGATTGAATTCAGAAGCCTATGGAAGAATTCATCTGTATTCTATTAATGCCAAACAACAGAGACTTGCAAAAAATATAAAATGGTGCCATTTGCTAAATATTTTCTTTTCAAAAAGTTACTTTTCATTTTAAAAAGTTATATGTATTGGCTTTGATATTTTTTGCATTAGACACTGAAAACAAATGTTGGTAACTGATTTCATGTAGTTAGAAATAGTACCCACCACATTTTAAGATATCTCTTTACAGGAGTTATTCTTAGTATCAGTGCTTAAGATTTATTGTATTTTTAAATTAATTTCTCTGATTTTAGAAGTATCTGGCATTTCATATTATAATAGTAAAGCCTTCATTAGCTTCAGTCTAGTTTGCTAGAATTTATCCCCGCATATTCTCAAGAGAAGGCCAACGTATATCAAGAATTTCATGAATGTTTCACGTCAACACATATTTGTCGAGCATTTGTGCTTGGGTGATTTGAGAGAGACACAGAGTCCCTGCCTGATTGACTTGGCTGTGCTAGGGGTTCATTTTGATGTTAGCGCTTTCAACATCCACTCCTCTATATATGTTAATACTCAGGCTCCTGACTTTGAGTCACTGTAAAACTCTCCAGGGATTGACAAAGAGATTTAACCACAGAACAAAGTTTTCAGATTAATACTATGTTAAACAGAAATGCCTGTAACATAAGTTTTATGCAGCACTTTAAAATCTATCTAGTGATCTAGCCTGTTTTATTTCATTTATTCCTAATAATGATTCTTAGGAGTTCTAATCTATTTTATAGATGGTTGGCTATGGCGTCCAATTAGCTGACTTGCTTGAGGATGCTTGTAGGATGGACTCAAGTTATAAGGACTCTGACTCTGGTCATTTCTATATTGTATAAAACTATCAGATTTGTTGAGGGCTCAAAGTACCTATATACTCGAGTATAAGCCGACCCAAATATCAGCCAAGGCACCTAATTTTACCACAAAAACTTTGCTGGAAAACTCAGCTTATACATGAGTATATACGGTAGTTGAGAATTTGGTACACATCATAAGATATTTTCAAGGGGGTGACAGTGTCTAGTACAGGACCTTGGCCATCATCAATCTGCCGTGGATGACCCAAATCACTGGAAGAAAGAAGTAAGAATGCGCCTTCTGACTACTGAGCCTGTAAAAACATTGTGAGAGCTTGGCTTCGAGTTAGAATATACATTTTTGCCTACAAGGGAGTTTTTGTTTCAAACGTTAAAGAACCTTCAAATATGTTCTTTTGTTACGTCTCAGGACTACAGTCTCTAACCATAGAGTAAAGCACGTTCAGAACAGCAACTACCTAAATAAAGTAAGTGGTAATATTATGGTGGGCAAAAGAGTAATTTTTTTTTTTTAAAGAGTAATTTCTTAATGTAACATGGCAAGAATTACTTTGTAGGAGAGCTCCACCCACGTAACTGACTCAGATTCAGATAGTGAGCTGGCAGCGGGGGAGGGGACCCTAGCACAGAGAACTTTGTGCCATCTGTCCTGAGTCTAAGTTAATGGTCTCTTGTTAATTTGGTTGTCCGTTTTCTGATTCTCTGTATCTCTTCCCATAGGTCTGTAAAAGAATGGACTTGGTTTGCCAGAGGATGTTGAATCAGGGATTTCTGAAAGTGGAGAGGTACCATAACCTGTGCCAGAAACAAGTGAAAGCACAGCTCCCCAGGTATGTGTGGCACGGCTAACAGCTGGGAGTCTCGTTTGTTCTTGATTATCTAACTGTTAGTAAAGACACGCGTGTGTGAGGTGATATGCAGACCCAGTGTCATCGAGTCGACAAGACAGGGTAAAACTGTTCTGTAGGGTTTGTGAGACTGAAAATCTTTGATGGAAGCTGGGAGCTTCAGTGTTCTCCAAGAAGATCCTGCAGTTATCGAGGTGCTTTGTTAGAAGATAAGACACTTGGGGGGTGGGGGGGAAGCAGTTGACTCTGGCCTGTCTCCTGAGAGCCAGGTCAACCAGACCCAGGGCCTATTGTTCCCTAAGCTTCAGGAGGCATGATGGAATCCATCATGGCCAGGTGGGGAGGTCAGTAAAAGCCTGGAGCCCTAACACACACAGATGTACTTCTCATTGGTGACCATGCACAAAAGAGGGTAGCATGTTTGTCCTTGGGGGCCAGGAATCCTCCCAGGCTTTGTCCAATGTGTCTCTTCAGTTGTATCCCATTGGGCTTTAGTAAATCTGTGGATGAGGTATACTCTCCATGGATTTTGTGAGTCTTTGCAGCAAGTGTTACAACTCAAAGAGGCTGTGAGCTAGCAGAGGCTGGTGTCTGTCTATTCGGCAGTATGAAGGAGTCAGTCTTTTTAACTTCCGGCCTCTGCCCCAGCACTGGGTGACAGAGAGCCCCCTTCTCCAGTGTCAGAGAAGTCCTGCACAGACGGCTGGTTGGGAAAAAAGGTATCCTCCTCACTTGTAACTCAGACCAGCTCCATGGGGCTAGAGTCAGAGCAGTGCGACAAGGATAGAGACAGGGCAAGGGGAAGTCAGTCCTCGAGTTTGGAGGACTGGATTTCTGCAGATCCTCACACCTAGCTGTTGCCAACTCACTTTACCCCTGGGCTACATGTTCGTGGTTTCCAAGTTTTTTGTAGACTATAATAAGCAGTTTTTACTATTCCCTGTCCACACTCACCACTCCTCTTCAGCATTGTACTGAAGGGTGTAGTAGAGAAATTTAAGCAAGAAAATAAAAAGGCAACCACATTGGAAAGGAAGAAGTAAAACTATTATAAGTGCATGATTATGCATGTAGAAAACCCTAAGCAATTCCAATCATTAGTGTTAATGAATTAATTCCATAAGGATACACAATTGAAGATAATATACAGTCAGTTCCCAGGTTACTAATAGCCAACTTAATGTACAGCCTATAGTTATAAACTACCTCTTGTAAAGCCTTTAGGAGAAGGAGGGAGCTTTCTACTCCCGTAAAGAGTCTCAGAAACTTAGAGGGGGCCTTCTACCCTGCCTATAGGGTCACCGAGTTGGTATGGACTCACTGGTAATGAATTTGGTAAAGCCTTTCCTCAGCTCCCTGTGAGTCCTCAAGTCAGAAATCATGTGTTGCTGCTGGGTTAGTCACAATGTCAGACAGTCATTGGCAAAGCACTTTATAGCCACTTCCTCCTCCTCCTACTCTTTGCAGCTATCCTGCAGAAGCCGCCTCCCCCAGCACTAGGAGACTGTCTCCTTCAGCAGGCACCCCTCCACCAACCCCCCAGCTTGCCAGCAATCGTTCCTAATTCTGTCCACTTTACACCTCTTCCTCCTTTTTTACCCCTTCCTTCTTCCCTCCTTCCCTCCCCACTCCTGCTCCCCCAGGTCTTTCACTGGAGTAGTTGCCCCTGTCAGCCTGTTCCTTGGCCAGCTATGCCTCACTGAGGGCTATGAAGTCCTTAGCCCCATGTACCACTGGACTACAGTCGATGTAGTCCACTGCTCTTGACTTCTCAGAATCAGGGGTTCCCTCACCACCTGCATCAACCTGCAACGGCCACTGGCTCAGCTTCCCCCTTCCTATGCTCGGCAGCATGCACCAGAATATTATTACTGTGTGGCCAGTTCTCCATATCCACTGGCTCCACAGATGCATAGTCAACCAAGGATCAGAAATATTCGGGGAGATAAAGAAAGCAACTAAGTGGTTGGAACAAACCCTCCCAAAGTGCTATTTGTATCACCTGTATATTATAATAAGTATTATAAGTAATCCTGAGATGAGTGAAAGCATACAGGATGATGTGCCTATAGGTTACATTCAAATATGAAGGTAAGTCAATACTGCTATAAAATCAAAGCAACTTTTATTAAACAACATTACCAAAATGTCTATTGTTTCTCAGCATATCTTCCATCTAGGTCTGTATCCTTCTGAAGGCAGTGCTTCACGTCTCTGCTCTGAAGAACTCCGCACTCTGATTGACACATGTCAAAAAGGCGGTGTGGGCCTCCTTGAGGACTCTGAAGTGTCCTTTGAGTTTTAAGGACAAAAAAAGTTGGAAGGAACAAGATCAGGGTGATAGGATGGAAGGGGGTTCCCTATGAAATTCTGTGTGTGTGTGTGTGTGTGTGTGTGTGTGTGTGTATGTGTGTGTGTGTGTGTGTTCCAAGTGAGCTTTTACAAAGGAGAGAAGAAGTTTCGGGTGTTACACAGGTACCCTCAGAGCACTTCACATCCACACATGGAAAACGGAGGCCAGAAAAAAACGCAGCCCAACCGAGGGGCAGCTGGAAAAGGAGTCCCTACGGAATTCTTTTTTTTTTTTTGCTATTTGTTGTGCACACACACACACATACCCACAAAATTCTTAAGGACAGCCTTTTTACCCATTATCATGGTAGGAGAGAAATTCCTCAGCACAACCACCCTGGCCTTTTTCTTCCCCTGAAGTTTTCCGTTTTCTTAAAACTTCTGTGGCATGAGCCCCATGATCATCGTATGTCCTTAGACAGGGAGGGACTTATCAAAATGACCCCTTGTGGGAAGCCCCTAAAACAGTCACCATAACCTCAGCTGACCGCTTTGCCTTTACCTCTCTGCCTTGAATGTAACTGACCCAGTGATCCCTCAGAAGCTACGTTTGGGGTGGGGTGCCCTCTTTTCCTTTTTGGAGAACTTGTCTGCAGCCACCCACTAATCAGAGACATGTTTGAACACATTTTGTTTGGGAAAAGCCCATGCACGTGTGAACTAAAACCCTGGTAGCAGCCTTTTTGACATACAGTGTTCTGCATAAGGGACTCTTGCATGTATCTTTGGATTTCTGGATTAAGGAGAAGTGGTTGATCCTGAAATGAGTCCCCCACTGATACCAAGGGACTACTGTGTTATGTTAGAGATGTTTTAGGATGTCTGGAATGGTTGCTGTAATATTTTTGACAAAAAGGTACACTGTATACTTAGACTTTATTTTTTGACAAACAGCTAACTATCTGGTGTTAGAAATAAACTACTATTCCGACTTAACGTACGATTTTGAATGGCAGACAGACTCATTTGTAATCTGGGGACCATATTTTTATGTATCAAAAAATCTGAAAAAGAAGATTGCGTTTATAACAGCATCAAAAGAATAAAGTACTTAGGAACTAATGAAAGAGATATGAGACTTAGAAACCAAAAACTACAAAATATCACAGAAAGATAATTTAAGGAAAAGACATCCCCAATACCCTCAAATTGATCTGTAGATTTGGCACAGTGTTTTGACAGGCTGGTCCTAAAATTCATAGGAAAATGCAGGAGCTCCAAAAGGGCTAAAACAACCTTCATAAAAAAAGACGCGAAGTTGGAGCACACTCACTTTCTGGTTTCAGAATTTACTGCAAAGCTGCAGTAACCAAGACATACAGCTCAGTAGAATGGAATTGAGCGATTCCAGAACTAAACCATTACATCGTGTGGTATGCCATGGAGTTGATTCAGCAGCCTCAGCCCCTTGCTCTTCCTCATAGTGACTCTAGGACAAAGTGGAATTGCCCTGTAGGTTTCCTAGGTTATAATCTTTATGTAGCTGATTGCCAGGCCTCTTCTCCCACAGAGTAACCGGTAAGAACAGCTGATAGGTTTGATCACTGAACTTGTAGTTAGCACCCAAACAGTTGACCATCATACCCCCAGGGACTCATTTGATTTCAGCAGAAATGGCAAGACAGTATAATGGAGGAGGATATCCAAAGTGGATATCCACTGGACAACTAGATATCCACAAACTAGATAGCAAACTATAAAACTCTTGGAAGAAAAAGCACACTTGTTCCTCTAGGGTACTCTAAAGATAGAACCAGGAGGTGAGCGGTGTGTATCTAGAGAGCCAGAACTGGACGGGACTACCTTGTTTTTTCTGGTCTCTTGTTTTCCGTCTTTAACAGTGCAGTTCCCACTTTTCTATCATTCTGTTCAGTGAGAAATCATTGTGTTTCTGCCTGACAAAGGGTCGGGCTTTTGGAGGTTTCACTGCATGAGAGGACTTCAAAAAGCTAATGAGGAATGCCTATTATCTTCCATTTCTGAACTTTTGATGCCCCTTTGTGTGTACCTTTATAGAGAGACATTTAATTTACTTCAGAAGGTTGGCTCGTTTAGTTGTGGGGCTGGCAAGCCCCGAATCTATGAGCAACAGCTGGAGACTTCTGCAGGTTTGTTTGCAACCGCTGCTCATGTGGTAGGAAGACAAATCGGACCTCGTCGAAATGAAAAGTTCACTGTTTCAGAAGACAGCATCAAGAAAGCCAGGCGACAACCTCACAATGGGAAGAGATATTTGCAAATCATGTCTGCTAACAGACTGGTCCACAGTTTTTTAAGGCATACTCAACAACAAGCAATTACCCAATTTAAAAATGAGCAAAGAATATGTACAAATGACTAATGAACACATTAAGCGATGCTCAACATCATTTGTTATCAGGAAAATACTATTTAAAACCTCTCTAAGGTACCACTTGATATCCATTACCCACTACCATTGAGTCACCTCTCACTCCTAGGACAGGGAAGAACTGCCCTGAAGGGTTTCCGAGGCTGTGAATGATAGGTTCCCAAACATAATTGGCTTACTGCCCTCCCAGCAATTAAATATAATGCCTTTGTACTTTCACCCATAGCTAGATAGAGCTTTTGCAGCCCCTTGAATCGTTCCAGTGCCATCCAGGGAGCGGTATTGCCTACTTTGGGAAACAGTGCTGTAAATCTACAGAAACGGACTGCTTCATTTTTTTCCAGCAGAAATGGTGGTGGATTGAAAATGCCAACAACTAAATCGCAGCTATGCATGTTAACCTTTGCACCACCTTTTACACCCATTCCTACTAACCCAGTGCCATCAACTTCATTCTCACTCAAAACTCGGCTCACTGCTGTCAAGTCTACTCTGATTCATAGTGACCCTCTGTGGTAATGACCCTATATACTTTTGGGTTCCCAAAACTGCAACCCTTTATGGAAGTAGAAAACCTCGACCTTCTGAGAAGCAGCTGGTTTCGCTGATCTTGCAGCTAGCATACCAATGCATAGCCTGTACACCACCAGGGCACCTTATTCTGACTAAACCCTACAAAGCAGTGCTTCTCAACTTGGGGTCAAGCAATCCTTTAACGGTCGCCTAAGACCATATTTCCGATGGTCTTAGGAACCGAGGCACCGCGCCTCTATCCATCTCCAGGCGGGTCCGCACTTACGGGATCACCACAACATGAACTGTATTAAATGGTCTCGACATTGGGAAGGTTGAGAGCCACTGCTATAAAGGATTTCCGAGACAGAAAATCTTTACAGGAGTGACAGTTTGTCTTTCTCCCAAGACTGGTTGATAAATTTGAATTACTGACCTTGAGGTTAGCTGCCCGGGACTAACCCACAGCATACCAAGGCTGCTCCTTATAGCCATTAGAGTGATTAAAATAAAGAGAATAGCAAAACTTGAGGACGTTGCAAAAGTGAAGTCTTGTACATGGTGGAGGAAATTATAAAACAGTTTAGTCATTTTGGAAGACAGTCTGGCAGTTCCTCTAGAAGCTAAAAATAGTTTTTATATGACTCAGCAATTTTGTTCCAAGAGAAACAAAAGCATACCAGTAAATGTCCCGACAAACTGGTATATAAATGTTCATAACAGCAGCATTCCTAGTAGGAAGAAGTGGGGATAGGCCAGATGTTTACCAACTGATGATTGGGTAAAAGTGTCCAGTGGCATGGGCTCAGCAGTGAAGCAAGGATGAAATGCTGTTACAGGCTGCAGCATGCACCTTGAAAACTATGCTACGTGAAATAAGCAGCCCTCAACAGAATGGAGCCATCGATGTGATTCCATTTGTACGGCACTATCCTGAATAGGTCGATCGACAGAAAGAGAAACTAGAGCAGTGATTGCCAGGGCCTTGCGGGGTGAGTGACAACGAAGTTTCTTCAGTGATGATGAGAATGTTCAGAAATTAGGTATTGGTGACATTTGCACACCTCTAGTGACTAAAAACTACTGAATCGTACACTTAGAGAAACCCTGGTGACATAGTGGATACTTGTTGGACTGCTAACCACAAGGTCAGCAGTTTAAAACTCATTCACTCCTTGGGAGAAAGGTAGACTTTCTACTTCCGTCAAGAGTTACAGGCTTAGAATTCACAGGGACAGTTCTACCCTGTCCTGTAGGGTCACTGTGAGTCCAAACTGACTTGATGGCACAGAGTTTGGTTTTTTTTGTACACTTATAAAAGGGTGAATTTTATCTCAAGCTTTCAAAGAACTTAAAGGTAGTGAGTTTGGGGGATAGAAAGATAGTCTTGTGATCTCTTGTCATACATATGTCCCTGTATGAAGTTTCATAGAACTGTTTTCTCTAATAGCCATTAGATTTGACATAGCACAAACAAAACAAAACATAACATTTAAATAAAAATTCTTTTCTCAAATGATTTGTCAGTCCTTAGCAAGAATTTCAGGATATGGTCGTTCATTCATCGTGAGGTTATTGCCCATTGTATACTTTTAACACATGAAAATTAGGCTGTTTCATTGAGACATTTCTTTTCATTGTAGTCCACAGACTGGCTGTAATTGTTCCTTTTATTTACAGGAGAGAGTCAGAAAGAAGAAACCATTCATTAGCTCGTCATGCAGACATCCTTGCTGCCGTCGAAACAAGGCTATCACTGTTAAATATGACTTTCATGAAGTATGTGGATTCCAATCTCTGTTGCTTCATCCCGGGAAAGGTAAAGTGGAATTAATTGTTTACTTAAAACTGCTGGACTGCACTGTATAAACGTTATTAATAAAGTGATGTTTTAAACGTCGCAGTTGTCCATTGAATTGAGTTCCTTTTAATAGCTGCTTCTGTACTGTTGTTGACATAACCATGCATCATTTGTATGGCCTTTGTATTTATCATTCTGATTACAAAATATACCTTTGAAGCCTTTAAATTCTTTAACAAGAATCGCTTAAGAGTTCATATTTCAGAAAATTTCTTTTGAGCCATCCCTCTTTGTAATGATGCCAAAGTTAATAGCAGTGGATAAGATAGGCTCTACCCCGTCTACAAGATTGGCAGGGGAGAAGGGAGTGACGCGGAACACAGGCCAACTGGATTTTGTTCCATTTGAGAAGTGTTTCAAAAGACAAACTTATATTTGGCCACAGAATTAGTTGCTGTTTTGTATATAACCTTTCTGAAGGCAGGTTTGCTGCTGACATTTGGAGAGTGCTCATAACACCCACAGTGCCTGGCACATAGCAAATCAGTAGCTGTTGGGTTGGCTGAGACTCCAGGGGACCCCAAGTATGTCAGAGTAGAGTGTTCCATAGGGTTTTCAATGGCTGATTCTAAGGCACAACTGGGTGCACTTGAACTACCAGTCTTTCAGTTAGCAGCTAGGTGCTTTAACCACTGGGTAGCTCTAGTGGTGGAGTGCATTGCATATCAGGCTGCTAACTGCAAGGTTAGCATTTCGAATCCACCAGCCATTCCTCAAGAGAAAGGAGGCATTCTACTCCCATGAAGATTTACAGCTTCAGAAATCCACAGGGGTCGTTCTACTCTCCTTTGGGATCACTATGAATTGGAAATTACTTTATAGCAAGGAGTGAATAATATCGTTATATACTTGAAACTAAGTAATACTATTTTAATGTAGAAGGGAGTGTATTAATACGACGTTTTTACTAATACTAAATAAAGACCCAGTGTTTTACAGCTATTCATACCTCTGATAATACCTTGCTTCTTGAATTAAGTATAAATTTAGATGAAATAAGTCTATTTCTTTAAAGCGTTTGAAGATGGAAATAAGGTCATTTTGCTCCTGGCAATTGAGCCCCTTAACATGATTGGGACTAATTAAGACCCAGTGAAATTTGAATACTCTTTTTGTTATTTCCTTGGATAATTAAAATTAGCAATATTTCTTATGTACTTTCTCCATTTTCAATGACAGTTAAATTCTGATCTTATGCCACATAAAGTCAGGGACTGTTCAGTCAATAAACTGTTATAGAAAGAAGAGCAGTAAATATTTTGTGGGTATCTGAATAGAAAAAGTATATATAAATAATATGACACTATGTTAATAAACCAGTTTCATACATAGTCACAGACTACATTAATACAGATTTTTTTTGAACGCAGTCAAACCTTGCTTTTCAGTGTTGTGTGTGGTTCCTCCTCCAGTTGAATGGCAGAGTGGAGGAGTGTGTGGCAGTCCATGTGGCCTGCAAAATATAAAATATGGATGAGCTCACCTGCCAGGTAAAAATGGCCAGTCTTTGTTCTAGTGGATCAGAATCGTGTCGTGTGATTGGAGGTAGTAATCGTTCCTGTCCAAATAAGTGATGTAAATTCTGTTGAAGCTTGCTGATTTAAAAACCACTTGTTGACTTTTCACTTTAAGTTTTATTTTACCAAAATAAAAGAACAGAATAAGGGTGACCACGATGTATTGCATCTCAGATGTAGCACTCACCTCTGCTTGAAGCCTTTACCCTGCTTTTAGCTGTAGCTTTATCTGATAATTAAGAAAAGATAGTTACTGAGCCCCTTTCTCCTTGATAGTACCACCTACTTACAAAAACTCTCATTTCTTTTTTCTCCTACAAACCTTAACTTGACATATGCTACCAAGGAGACAGAAATGATTTCATTTTTATTCAGATAGATGTTCTGTCACATTTAATTCAGCTTGGGTTATTTTGTTCCTTTAAATTTTTTTCCTTTGTCATTTTTATAGTTTACCTCTTGCCTAAAACATGACAGTGTATATTCGGAATGCTATTGCGTTATTTCATTTAGCTGACATTTTTAACGTAAAAAAACCTGTTGCTGCCTAGACAATTCTGGCTCATAACAGCCCTTTAGACAGAGTAAAACATGAGGTTTCAAAAGCTGTAATCTCTACAGAAGCCAACAGCTACATAGTACATACTACCCTTGTCCTCAAATGAATATATTCAGTACCAACCCACCTAACCCATTCTGGCCCAGGTTACCCTATATGAGTCTTTAAAATAAGATAAGACTTGATCTATCGTTACTGTTTCTAGATTTCTCCCCCAGCCAAGAGAGCCAGGTTCATGCCCTCTAGGCAATAATAACTTATCACAAGTTATTTCCAATAATAACCACAGATCATCCTATTGTGATTAATCCCACCCTGTATGCTTTTTATGTGCTCCGATCTTAAATATATGCAGAGAATAGAGATTCAGCAGCCTAATATGAAACCCAGAACAAAAGAAATAGGAAAAGTCACTTTTGAGGAAAAGTCTTGCAGAGCTATTGAAATCTTTTCTGTACACAGATCATTTGAATAGAAAAAGATTGTATAGAAACATGAAAAATAAAGGCAGTTATACTTTAAAAAAATAACTAAATATATGAAATTGTATAATTGATAGATACAATTGTGTATAATTTATCATTGATGCTCCATTAGGTAATGCCAAAAACTAACTTGACTAACGCTTGAGTTATACTAGATTAAAGGAGATCGAGGTTCTCTCACCCACAATGGGCTGAAAGCTTTGCGTAGTACACCATTTGTGCCAGGCAGTGTGCATGATACAGTGAACTCGGGGTTAGAAATGTGATAATTGGTCACTGTATTTGGCTTGTATCATACAATTTTGTAGCTATAATATAGTATCTATATATTTTATATAATATATATAGTATTTTATGGTAATTCAAGCAAGCCGTACATTATTTGAAAGGCCTAGGAATAGACATTAAGTATTTATCTGACTTGCTTAAGACCTGAGATCTTTCCACTGAGCTCCACAATTCATGCCATTACACTTTTATTGTTGTTCTTGTTTGTTTGAACAAAAAAATAAACATAGCGTACCATCTGTAAATTCAACGTTATTTACATCTACAGTTCAGTGGCATGGTTCTGTGTATTATGTTGTACAATAGTGACCACTGTCCACTTCTACATTTTTCCACTCAGTTAAAGCTATCTTTCTGTCGCCCTCCCATACCTGATACATCAATAAACTTTTAATCTATACAGTAGCATATTTCATGTAAATAGGATCATAAAATAATCATTTCACTCACCATAATATTTTCCCACTCCGCCCATGTTCTAGCATGAGTAAGGACCTCACTCCTCTCTGTGGCTGAGTAATAATAGTCCATTGCATGTGCACCACCTTCTATTCATCCATCTCTCAATGAGCACTTAGGCTTTTGCTGTTGTAGCTCTACGCTACCGGGGCGCCTGTGACTTTTATAAGCAAAATAAAATTTGCTTTCTAAAAACCGTGCTCTTGAATTGTATTTAACTTCAGGCACAGTGAATCATTTCTAATACTTGACCATCTATGTCATTCATTTAGCAAACATTGAATACTGGTTACATGCCAGATATTGCCAAGTTCTCAAACTCTGACAGTTAAACTCCATATGCTCCGTTTTCCTAAAGAATTTACCAAAGGTTGTCTCTGACTTAACACTGGGATCTTGTTCCAACAACTTTCAATAGTCGATTCTGACTTGTGTTGGCTACCTGATTTTCTCTTGGTGTTATTATTACTGGAATTGAAAAACTTATGTTTTTTATATCTGGATTTTGTGATTTCCTCTTGTAATTATCTCCTATTTTTAAGGGTTTTTGATGACTTTGTTGTTCTAGAAAAGCAATCCTATCTGATGAGACCTCATTCCAGGCCATAACAAGTCTTAAAGAAACAGCACCCCTGGGGGTAGGCCACCTGAAGGCAATGCAAGCCAGGAGGAGGTCAGGCTGCATCCCTAGGGAGTGGATGTGACTAAATAAAGCAAAGTGGGCTTGGAGGATGAACAGAATATTAAATCCCAATTCGGGATTTAAATTCTTAAATAAGTCCTCTAAATGTACATCCTTCTTTACATGTTTCCACAGTGATTTCCTTCAAGATAGAGCCGCCCTATATTACTTACCCTGATTCCTTAGCACCGGCACAATCTCTGGTTGTCAAGGGTGCTTAATAAATAGAAGTATGCAAAGTATGGAACGTTGTAAGGAGCCCAAAAGCTGTGTGGTGCAGATTGGGAATACTGGGCAATGTTATCAATGGCCAGGACATCTGTTCTGTTAAAGCACCCTGCAGGGCTACACAGCACTTGAAAATAAGCAATCACTTTTCTCCCTATTTGATTGTTCTCGTTAATATATATATATATATATAAACTGTAGTGCTAATGCGCATTCTTCATTTCAGGTGATTGATGAAATTTATCGTGTATTGAGATATGTCAATTCTACCAGAGCCCCTCAGCGAGCTCATGAGGTACTTCAGGAGTTACGGGACATCTCCTCCATGGCAATGGAGTATTTTGATGAGAAGATCGTTCCAATTCTGAAGAGGAAATTACCGGGGTCAGATGTGTCTGGAAGACTCATGGGCTCTCCTCCAGGTATTCTTTATTTATAAGTTCTCTTTGTAGCAATGTTGGTAAGATACATTTTTTTCACTTAACCATATAGCTTGAACTTTTCTGTCCCAGTGGATACTTATGTGCTGGGTCCTTTGACTGACTAGAACTAAGACTGTAATTTAGGTAACTGATTGTTACCATTGGATACATTTGTTGTTTCCAGCTTTTTCCATATTTGGTCTGTACTCTGAAGAACAGGCTGAAGAACACACATCCATTGTATGGATTGTGTCAAGCACATTTGTACATTTGTTGCCATCATCATTCTCAGAACATTTGCTTTCTACTTGAGCCCTTGGTATCACCTCCTCATTTTTCTCCTCCCTTCCCGCTCCCCCCTCCCTCATGAACCCTTGATAATTTATAAATTATTATTGTTTGTCATGTCTTACACTGTCCGATGTCTCCCTTCACCCTCTTTTCTGTTGTCCATCCCCCAGGGAGGAGGTTATACGTATAGCCTTATAATCAGTTCTCCCTTTCCACCCCACCTTCCCAGTATCAGCACTCTTAGCACTGGTCCTGAAGGGATCATCTTTCCTGGAGTCCTTGTGTTTCCAGTTCCTAACTGTACCAGTGTACATCCTCTGGTCTAGCCAGATTTGTAAGATAGAATTGGGATCATGGTAGGGGGTGGGAGGAAGCATTTAAGAACTAGAGGAAAGTTCTTTGTTTCATTGTTGCTACACTGCACCCTGACTGGCTTGTGTCCTCCCCGTGACCCTTCTGTAAAGGGATGTCCAGTTGCCTACAGATGGGTCTTGGGTCCCCAATCTGCACTCCCGGACATTCACAGTGATTTGATTCTTTGTTCTTTGATGCCTGATACCTGATCCCTTTGACACTTTGTGATCACACAGGCTGGTGTCTTTCTTCCATGTGGGCTTTGTAGCTTCTCAGCTAGTTGGCCGCTTGTTTACCTTCAAGTCTTTAAGACGCCAGACACTATATCTTTTGATAGCCGGGCTCCATCAACTTTCTTCTCCACCTTGCTTGTGCACCCGCTTTTGTCTTCAGCGACTGTGTCAGGAAGGTGAGCATCATGGAATGCCACGTTAATAGAACAAAGTGTTCTTGCATTGAGGGAGTACTTGAGTGAAGGCCCAATGTCCATCTGCTACCTTAATACTAAACCTATAAATATATGCACATAGATCTATTTCCCCATCCTCATATATAAATATATTTACATATGTACATGCCTTTATTTAGACCTATAAATGCCCTTTTCCTCCTAGCTCTTTCCTCTATTTCCTTTAACTTTCCTCTTGTCCCACTATCATGCTCAGCCATCATTTGGGTTTCAGTAATTCCTTAGGTTACATTACCCTTGATCACACCCTACCAGGCCTCCTACACCCACCTCACCACCGATTTGGATCACTTGTTGTTCCCTTGTCCCTGGGTTTGTTAACACCACTTCCTTCCCCCCACCCCAAGTCCCCCCGGAACTGTCAGTCCCGTTGTTTTCTCTTCTAGATTGTTCATCCAGCCTACCTTATTTAGGCAGACCTGCGGAGATAATAACATGCACAAAAACAAGACAGAGCAAAATAAAGCAACAACAAAAGCCAATGACAAAAAAAGAGAAAGAAAATCCTGTAGATAGTTCAAGGACTGTTTGTTGACCTTTAGGAGTGTTTTCCAGTCAAGTGTGATGGGGTGCCATGCCCTGGCCCCAAAGTCTATTTTTAGTGCTCCCTGGGAACTTCAGTTGTTCTGTTTCCCTTGATGTTCTGTGTGGTGGGGTCAAATCGGGCGCATTTCCCACACTGTGTTTTCCACTGGGCTATGGATCAATGACGGATGTTGTGTCTCATAGTGGGGCCAGCCATGTGGTCTTTGTGGATTGGCTACTCTTGAGCAGGAATCTCGTCCTCAAGGCTTGGTGGGCCAGGATGTGCTCGACTCTCTCTTCCTCCCCCTTCATTTGCCCCTGTGTGCTCTGATCAGACATGTCCCTCTCCCTGAGCTGTAGCTTCAGTGCCGTCCTCTCAAATAAATCCTTCTGGGGGGAAGGGCAGGTGTCCACATAGTAGTTGGGATTGGGGCCGGCCCCTCAGACCTCTCTACTGGTTCCCTACTCCATGCCAGTAGGTTGCATTCACATCTTGGAGCAGCAGGTTGAAGTCTGTTCCCTCTTTCCCTGTGGAGATATAAACCATACCCGTTCCTTGGGTGGGTTAGTGCCCTGTTCCCACACTACCCCTTTCTTTTTTTTCTCCCATCCTTTTTAGTTGGCTACCATACGTATCCCTGGATTTGATCTGGCCCCTGCCATACTACCTGTTCCTCACCCCAGGAATGTTTGTATACAGTAGCTCTTTCCCTATGCCCCTTTTGCATTTTTTAAGCTTACCTCAGCAGACTCATTTCAGGAATCTATTTAATGAATTTTTTTCAAAGCCATTTTATTTGGAGTTAATACAGATATATCATTCCATTGTTCAATCACATCAAGCAGTATTACACAGTTGCTACCACAGTTTCAAATGTTTGATTACTACTTTAAAACACGGCCTGCATCGTCTCTTGAACACTGTCTCCTCTGTGATACAAAAGTCAGAAGTATATTGGACCTCAGAGCTCTCTGCAGTCATCTATTGAAGGATTACATGGTTGCATATACTTAATGCTTGAGGATACTTAACTTCTTTAGGGTGGGGGAAAATGTCTTGGTTAAACTTTGTGTTTTACTTGGATTAGTTCACCCCTGCAGTACTCAGTAGATCAGTGCCCTGGCTCTGTAAGTAAACAGTAAAGCTTTAGCAATATCTACTCTGCCTATTATGTGCACAGCACTGCACTGTGTCCTGTAGAGACTGGGAAAGCAGTATAATCCATGGTGTCTGCCTTCAAGGATCTTACTGTTTCTGAAGGTTAGGCATATCTAGACTCAAAGTTCAGTGATCATAGACAAGAGATATATTTTAGGAAAGTGCCCAATTATATGCCACAAGCATAACGGATCTGATTCCTAAGGAGGAAAAAGAGTCATTAAGGCTGATCTAATAGATCACAAGAGGTGAGCCTTGATGGCTGAGCAAACTGGGAAGAAAAACACATCAATCAAGGGCAGGATTAAGGTTATAGACTTGGTACAAGTAGAAAATTAGCCTGATGGATTTAGGATGTAAGTGATTCCATCTGGTCCTTTAGAAAACATACGAGAGACAGGTTTTTTGAAAGTAGATTATTAGTTAAAATAATGAGTGTCCTGTTCTTGGTACTCCCTCATTACCTTCTAATTATTTCTAAATCACAATAGCTCTGGACCCTTCCGATACCCTGTCAGAAATTATTTCTGATCATCGTGTATTTATTTGTATGCCAGGGGACTTTAAAAAGTTTATGAGGAAATCCTATGATCTTCTAATTCCATTTTTCCACAAACTTTTTGGAGCCTTCTCCTTTATAAAAGTAAACTGGACTGTGGTTCTAGCTCCAGGAGAAGACAGGGCTTGGAAGCTTGGGCAGTTACTCACATCAGGACACTCTGAGCACCCATGTCCCTTCGGCTTCTAGGCTTTTAGAATTCAGATAAGGCTGTGAGTAAGTAGTAAAAGACTGCTTCTGGAGTTCCAGTCCACACATGCGCAGGTTTACTCCAAGCAGAAGTTATTTAAACGTACTCTCAATACTACACTTATCTTTGTCTCATTAGGGTGCATTCATAAAAAGGTCCGATCTAAACAGTGACCTCGAGGGGATCTGTTGGCCAGTTACATTCACAGCAGAGAGGTCATCTCAGAAGGTTGTGGTGACTGCCCTTTGTGATTCCAAAGGAGTCGGTCATCTTGATAGGGTTTCTCAAAGGACACAGCATGATCATGGGGACTTACCGGAAACAAAGGTTTTAACAAATGAGGAAAGGGCCAAGGAATTTTCTTCCATCAGAACAATGCCCCTGCTTATCCTTTTAGGGTAGCAAGGACCGTACTATGAAAATTTAGTTGGGAAACTGCCTCATTTACCCTACAGCCCCAATCTGGCCTCTTCAGACTTCTTTTTGTTTCCCAAGCATGATTTGAGTTCCTCTAGGCTACCAAAACTACCTTCTGGACATGGTATAAGTTGAAGAGCACATAATTATTCAAGGACACTTTAGAGAGACGGAAAAACACCACCTTCAGAAGTGGGTAGACCAAATAGAAGATATGATGAGAAACAAAATGTAGCTTAACATTTTGGTATTTTTTGTTTGTTTGTTTGTTTAATAAAGAATTATATGATGGCATAGTGGGTTCCACGTTGGGGTGCTTAAAGGTTGGTAGTTCAAAACCACCAGCCACTCCAAGGGAAAAAGATGAGACTTTCTACTTGAAAAGTACTTTCCACTTCCCCACTGGGCAGTTCTATTTTATCGGTTCAGTGTCAGAATCAACTCAATGGAAGTGAGTTTGAATGATGTAGCAATACTTTTAGCCTTACCCTGGCATGTATCCCACTGTTTGACGGAGTCCCTATTTTATGTAGCTGATATTGAAGCCTTTGTATATATAACAAAGTACAAAGAACTTCAAAATGTAGTTTGCTAATTCTAAACTTGAGGTATTGTTTACTCATGTAAGATAAAGTAGCTAGATAGATCAGATAGATAAAATAGCTCAAGCCAAAAACCACTGTGGTGGACAGAGCAGACCTGTCTGTGGCTTTGGCTGTGAATCTTTATAGGAGCAGGCTGACACATTTTTTTCCTATGGAGTGGCTGGCAAGTTTGAACCACTGACCTTTTGGTTAGCAGACAGTGTTCACCCACTCATTCTGCCAATGGGACTCTTTAAACAGACTTTCTCCTTATTGTCTACTTGTGTTTTCTTACTATATTAGAGTCTAAATTGTTTGCTGAGACTTTTAAGTTAATGCCCTCTCCCTCTGTTGTCAGTCCACATACTGCACATATGCATCATGGGAATCAGAATTTCAGATTGCTTATAGTTAAACAGGGTGTCTGGTTAACTCATTACATCATGCAGATTGGAAACACAATGATCAGAAGTTAACAAATAATGACACTCCATCTTTAAAGACATTTAACTAACCCGGTATTAGCAGGAGGAAAACACTGTGATTGAGTGACCATTTTAAACTCTTTCTCTGCAGTCCCAGGACCGTCTGCAGCCCTAACAACAATGCAGCTATTCTCCAAGCAAAACCCTTCAAGACAGGAGGTTACCAAACTCCAGCAGCAGGTTAAGACCAATGGTGCTGGTGTGACTGTTCTCAGGCGTGAAATTTCAGAGCTCCGCACCAAAGTGCAAGAACAGCAAAAACAGCTCCAGGACCAGGATCAGAAACTGCTAGAGCAAACCCAGATCATAGGCGAACAGAATGCCCGCTTGGCAGAGCTGGAGCGCAAACTGCGAGAAGTAATGGAAAGCGCAGTCGGAAACTCTTCAGGTTCCAGGCAGAATGAGGAGTCTCCACGGAAACGGAAAAAGGCAGCCTCGGAAGCCATAGACTCTCTTAGGAAATCGAAACGGCTCCGGAATAGGAAGTAAATTGGAATGTGGTTGGTTGTCTGTAGCTCCAGAAGACTTGGCTGAGTAGCTTAAGCAGTTATGCATATCAGGATGCTGTGAACACCAGCATCCCGTAGGCTTCTAGGCTTTCAGAACACAACTTAAACTTGAACTGTTTCACGGTTAGGACATTGTTTTCCGCTTCTCCTGGGTGAACTGATGCAGTCTTTTTACTTTGCAATAGATTTGTACTAACCAGACCTGGTCTATTATGTTTTGAGGGGTTAACTGTTTTCCTGTGCAGATAAAGTTTAAAGTTTGTATCTGCATATATGCACATTACATAAAGATCTCAAACCTAGTCTGGACAGACTGAAAGTTAACGTTTAACTACAGAAAATGTCCTGTTCACTTGAAAGAAAAGACCTACTTTTTAAATGGACACTTTCTTGTTTTGTTTTTTTAAGTTGACTTTTTTGACTTTTTGTTATAAGTGACCTTTGTCTGGAATGTCTGGAAAATAGTTCGTGCTTTTTGGAATTGAAGTAATGGGTAACGAAAACGGACTTCCCTAGTATTGACTGTAGAAGGGGCCTCTACAGTATTGACTGTCTATTTTTATAAACTACTGGCAAGGGGCATATCCAGTTGCGACATGTTTTCAGTTCTCTCTGGGCCATGTCCTGCATTTGCATGGATGGGTGCATTGCATGCATTGCCTACCAACTCACTTAAACAGCTCTTGCACTGGTATTGATCGTGAACCTCTATACTTTTTACAGCAGCTTCTTCGTTTATTTAAGTGCGCAACATCTTCCACCACAACAGCTTGCCTCTAGAGGGCCAGTTAGTCCATTTGTCCTCCACGGTTCCAGGGGCAGGGGAATATTGAAACCCCTTGCTTTACCTGTTCTCTGTAGGGTTCAGGTACACTGGCTCTTCCTCGTTGCTTTCAAACATTTGGTAACTAATACTCATCACTATGGCACTTGCTGATTGAATGTGATTGACTAGGGGGCACAACTGTAAAATGCAGTGTTGCCATTGAAGCAGTTTATTGAAGAAAAGTTGTACTATGAAGAAGTCTTTCATTTGGGGGTGGGCATGTGGAGGGGGCAGGTGACCTAAGGAAGCTTTTAAAATAATCCCAGCTTTCCTTATCCTACAATGTTAAACAAAAGCTTTTTTTTTTTTTTTTTTTTTGCACTCCTATTTTGAACTGTAACCGGAAAAGCATGTCTTGCACTGTTTGGCCTTTTGAGTGGTCACTTTAACAACCTCCAAATTGTGTACAGCCATTATTTTTCCCCACTGTATATTTTTGAGACATTGAACTGTCACTGTCCTAGTTTTATTTTAATGTACTAAGTTATATAGCTATTATTTGACTGTTAAATTCATTTAAGCCTTGGGCTTCAGTTATTTAAAGTAAATTTAGGTGTAAAATAGAAGGGAAAAATCCTTTTCCAGGTGGGAGTTTGACACATATATAAACCTAAAGTTTGAGTAAGTACCTTTGTTACATAGAGCACAAGGTTACCACTTGTTACATCCGTCCAGCATAACATGGTTATGCATCCTTTAGATTGACCTCACCAAATGAACCTCTCCTGTTCATTTTTAATATTGTTCGTACATAATATTGTCCTTAAGATTTTCATCAGTTGTCTAATTTTGAAACTCCATTTACAATGTAGTATGTTTTTGATGAAACACCACAAAGCAACATTCAAGTGTTTTCATGGTTTGTTGGGGAGATCATTGTAAAATAAACAATTTACAAAACAAACAAACAAACAAAAATTTGTCAGCAAAGGTCATCCATATAAATCCCCGTCTGGAAATTTTCTCAGCAGGTCTATGTATGTGTCTGTCTGTCTGTCTTTTTTTAACCGTGGGAGTTAGCCATATTGTCATAACTTTGAGCGAGGACTAAATGAAGAGGCACGGCCTTGAACAGTCTGGGTGGTTTGTTTTGGGGGAGGTTGTGGGAGCGCGTGGTCTCCTGGCATTGACACAAACTGACAAAGTACATGTTTACAGTTTTACTAAGAATGATCGTTGTGCATCGCAGGGATAGAGCCTTAGATTATTTCTTAATAGTTGTTAATGAATCACCAAGAGATTCCTGAGTTTCTTTTTAAACATAGAGATACCCTAAATGGGCCTAGTCTTCCATTAATGAAAGGCTATATTAGTGAACATGAATATATGGCTTTCATAGTGTGCATTCACAATATTAGAAGGTAGATTTCCTATTCCAACATGCAAAGTTCGACAGCATACACTTGTTAGTGCATGAATGCGCCAAATCCGTAGAAGAATAAAACACTGAACACTTAGAAGAAGGATCTAGCTCAAACACTTTAGGAAACTGCTTTCACTATTAATCAGGACAATTATTTATTTTCTTTTTGACAGCATAGTGGCATTTAACGTTCACCCCATCTTATTTTGATCATCTAAAACTGGCACACATTTCAGGAAATTTGTAAATGAGCCTCCGGGGAGAGAGCTGCCCTGCCCTACATTACAAGTCATTAATTTAACTGCTGTATGCTGTTAATATGTCATAGAGCAACATTTCATAAATGATGATTCCCATCATTTTCCTTGGATGGTTTTTAGATACATCTCAGTTGTAACAGGTCATTCCCACGTAGAGATCCAACACTACAGACATGCAGCGAATGTGAGATGTGTGTGTCCCTCCTCCTCTGCATATACTCCTGGAGACAGACTTGTTTCACTTGATTTCACGTTCTGAGGTTGTAGAGCCTGTTACTCATCAATGTACAGAGCCTGGAAATAACGGGCAAACACGTGTATTCAGAAGGAGCATAGTGTCTGAAAACACTTTGGGTGCCATAAGGTCTAAAGCCACTGATTTGGGGAAGCTTTCTTTTTTAAAAAATACGTGTCTTTTGGAGTACTGAACTTTACAAGTGCTTGCCTTAATTTCTAGTAGTTTCATAATGAATGCGCTATTCTGTGTGTTGAAATGTTAAAATATTCTATGTAGCCCCCAAAGTGGGCAAAATAGAGTATAAGTAATGCCTAAATAAATAAGCTAAAAGGTGTCACTACAGCTGAATTTTTGAGAGAAAATGGGCATATGGAAATAGGCTATGTGTAATAAAAATAATGGCACCTTAAGATTGCACTATTTTATGCATTATTTTATATGCCATTTCATAGCCTGCACTTTAATCTCCAAAGAAACAATGTATTATGTCCCAGTTGTTCCATATTAATAAACCTTTTCCTAAGACAGGGCACTTAATTCTATTTTACAATACTGAATTCGTTTCTTGGAGATGGATTCCCTTTTTTGAGTTCTCAATTTCCTTAGCCATAATATTTTCTAGGATCTGGGAACTCCCTAGCTTGTCTATTTCCAACAGTATATTATCTTAATGTGATATATGTAACTCTCATTCCTGGTGATCAGCACATTGTTATATCCTACTCTTGTCAGTGAGTACCGATTTGTTGTACTTCTAAAACCCTCTATGAATACCATGTGCTATAAAGTACAATTGAAGGCAGGAATAAAAGGCATTCAGAAAGGAAACATCGATGATACAGTTTCTTAAAAACAGCTGGGTCTGATAATGAAACTCAGTTTTCTGTGCTCTCCAATTTTTTGACTTGAGGTCTATCTGAATCCCTCAGTACACAAACAGGTTAATAATGTTGAAACTATGTCACAATTACAGAGATGCCTGTCATTTGAGGCAAAGTATTTTCAAAAAATGCTAAAGCAACTCTACTGTCACTGGCAAGTAAGTCCCTGCTGTTGACCATAATTTCACTCTTAATAGCAATACGTTTATATTGATGATACAGATGATAGTTTTAAAATGTTGACCTTTTCTAGCTTCTTAAGAGTCTTTGTTAAATTTTTGAAGTGTAGACATTAAATCCAAACGTTAAGGTTATGTCTGATGAAGACATTTAGAGGCATAGTGGTAATTCGGCTGGTCCAATGCCAAAGTATAGTGCTATATTCAAAGCTATACTAAGAGGTCAGAAATGTTTAAAATTCCTTCATGTGGTACCATGTCTGTTACCTCCTCATGAGCAACAATAAATTACTAGTGAACCTTCTGGAATTTTAATTGTTGATAACCTTATTCAATTAATGGAAAGTGAAAAGCACCCTCCGGTCACACAACAGGGTACATAAATAAATGTGTTGTTACCAGTGCGCTTGCTTCTTTGTGTTTCATGAACAAAAGAATATTGCTAACAAATAACATTATTAACGGCTACCATCTTTTAAAACATTTCATAGTGTATGTTCTAGTTGTCACCAAAAAACTCTGCCTCCCCACTTCCATCTGAGTCATAGTCACTCATAGTGACTCTAGAACAGGGTAGACCTGCTCTTGGGGGTGTCAGAGACTAACTTTATAGGAGTAGACAATCTCTTTCACCACCAGTGCTGCTGGTGGCTTTGAACTGCTGACCCACCCAGCCATAGCACCACCAATAATCACAGCCCCTGTGAAGTAGGTTTTATTCAACATGGGAAAGTTAAAACATTAATAAGTCCACAATGTCATACAAATAAGCTGCTATGTGGAAATTGGCCCAAACTTACTTGCCTCTGAAGCATCTGTACATCCTGGTACCATATGGTACATTCTGAAGAGGCTGTGACGTAAGACTTTTAAGTCCCATTAATTTTACTATGTAGGTGTCCATTCCATGCATCTATTAGAAGCAATGCCCAAATCACAAATGCTAAGTGGCATAGAGAACTGAAGGGCAGGGCTTGAAGAAGGCAACTTTTACCCAAAATATATCTGTTATGTATGTGTTCATGCTAGGCACTGGTAAAAACTTTCTAAGGTTTCTGGAACCTGTGTTCTTAACACTTTCAAGACTGAGTTAGTTTCTGCTTTTTTGAAATTAAAAGCGTGTTTTCACTATTGCAGGCATTTTGAGAGAAACAGCATTATTTGTTGAAGTAATGCTGATTTTGATACCATTCTCAAGACACGTGTCCCAAAGAGTCTGGAGCTGCGGTTGGTGGGACTGCAGCTATAGGAGCACATGTAGATTAAGACAGTCCTACAGCCCCTACCACATGGTAGCACCCACTAGAAGAGGAGTAGCTTCCCCCTAAACCCCAGGAGGAAGATGTAGGTGAGCACTGTATGTCTGGGTCACTAACTCATTGCCATCAGGTTGGTGCTAACTCCTAGGGACACTAGGTAGTACCGCCCCGGTTTGTTTCTATGGGTTGCATAAGGGTTCGATAAGCACTTGTCAGGGTGGATGTGGTTTGATGTCATTAGCATAGCACCATACCATAACACCAATTCTTCTGTCTTGCCAGGGAAGAATATAGGCTCTCCAAAGTTGCTTCCAGATCCAAACCATATATATTTATATAAATTCCGAAAGACTACCTGCCAACCAAAAATCTGTATATACAGAAAATAATCCCTTGAATAAGAGGGGAAATAAGGGTATTTTCAGCAAGGGAAAGTTAAAGGAATTTGTAAAACAACTATCGTAAAAAAAAAAAAAAAACAACTATCGTTACAGAACATTATGATCACTATGGACAGAATAAACAAAAACGCCCATCTATAGGCTGCCAACATTTATACCAAATTCAAAGACAAAATGAAAGGATGGGGAAAATTTTACCAAGCCAATGGCAACTATGAATAAGCAGGAGTGGCAATATTGGATAGAATAGACTTCAAGGCAAATAGGATAACGTACGCTACGTAATGATTAAAAGAACAATAGAACAAGAAGGCACAACCGTAATACACATGCGCCCAGTGAAAGCCCCTCAGTGCATCAAACACACTGTTGAAAAGAGAAAGACAGCTCAGCAATAGTAGTAGGAGACTTCAATACACAACTTTCAAGGAAAGACCACTCGGGGAAGAAGATAAAGAAACAAGCTAAACATGATCAACCAGTTCGACCTAGATATATGCAAAACACTCCACCTGACAACAAGAGTATACGTTCTTCAGTGCGCACAGTTACATACTCTAGACTAAACCACGTTTGGCCACAAAGCAAGCCTTAATAAAAATAAAACATCCTACGATGCATTTTCTCAGACCACAGTGCCATAAAACTGGAAATCAGCAATAGAAAGAACAAGAACATAAAGCCAAATGTAGAGACTGAGCAACATACTTCTTAAAAAGGATTGGGTAATTGATCAAATAAGGGAGGAAATGAAATTAAATACCTTGAAATGAAAAATGATTACATACCAAAACCTTTAGGACAAAGCAGAGGGTAAGTTATAGTAATCAAACTTATTTTTTAAATTCACAATACCTTAACATGACACCTCCAATAACTAGAACAAGGGCGACAACATAAACCCTCAGCCAACAGGAGAAAAAAACAGAACAAAAATAAATGAAAACAGAAAACAATGGAAAAAATCAACAAGACAAGATGTTGGTTTTTTTAAAGGATTCATAACATTCACTAACTCCTGACAAATTTAACAAACAGAAAATGCAAATATTTAGTATTAGAGATGCAAAGGGCAACAGCACAACCGATCCAAATGAAATAAGAATAAAAACACAACTACACAAGACTGCAACAAGTGTGATAACCTAGAAGAAACGGAAAAATACCTAGAAAGACACCTTTGCCAATTAGCACAGAGATGTAGAAAATGTCAACATACTCATAGCAAATGAAGAACTAGAGGAGGTCATCAAGAAACGCCCAGCCAGGAAAATCCCAGGACCAGGTAGCTTCACGGGACTGCGGTAAGTATTCAGTGACGAGCTGTCACCAATGCTCCACACGCTATTGCAGAATTCTAAGAGGGACAGCAAACTCCCAAACTCGTTCTACGAAGTGACCACTTACCATACGACCCAGCAATGCCTCAGCTGGGTTTACACCCCAAAGAAAGTCACTGAGTCAGAATGGAATCGCCTCAGTGGCAGTGAGTACCCACTGTGAATAGTGCTGAACTAAACAGCGATGTTCAAGTTTCTGTTTGTATTTCAGCATTCAGTTTTAGCGGGTATATTATATGGTCATCTTATGTTTAACTTTTTGAGGAACTGTCAAACTTTTCCACATTAGTTATACCATTTTATAATCCTACCCACAATAGCTGAGGTTTTCAGTTTCTCCACATCTTCACCAACACCTATTGTTTCCCGGGTTTTTGTTTGTTTCATCATGGCGATCTGAGTGTGAAGTAATACTCACTGTGCTTTTGATTTGCGTTTTTCTACTAACATTTACCAGCGAGGAAAATAAAAAATCTTTACTAGTATTCTTTTGTGTTTGGGTGTGCTTTTAAGAATTCTCTTTACTAATAAATTCAGTTACGTTTGAATTTCATTTTTGAAACAGTTCTTCAAGATCCGGTCAAGATTATTCCCTTACCCAGAGAAGTGGGTCTCAATTTGCTTATATGGATTCCTCTGGTTTGTGGTGAGTCATATCCTGGGCATAGGAAACTGTGAGGAGGAAACACTTTTCATTTGTTTTTAAAATTCTACCCACCACCTCTTTTACCTTTAGATTAAACTAAAGTATATTTTGATTAATTGGTTTGTTAAGGGTCTGTGTAGCAATAGCAGTGAAAATAGTAAACTTGACTCAATGAAAGACATAATATGTACCCTTCTGTGTTAAAACAGAATATACCTCCTTTCTCGATTCAAAAAACAAATCCACTACTGTTGAGTCCATTCCGACTCATAGAGACTCTTTTTTAGGATTTCTGAAGCTGTAAATCTTTATGGGAGCAGACAGCCTCATTTCTCTCCCACCGAGCAGCTGGTGGGCTTGAACTGCCCACCTTGGCATTAGCAGTCCACAGCAATACCAGAGTTTCTTATTAAGCCTAACTCCCCCCTTCCCCACCCCTCCAAAAAGGTTAAAATATTTGGTTTTATTTTTGAGTTGAAACAAACTTATAAACAAGTGCTTTAACTTAACTCCCTACATAACCAATTTCCATGAACTCCTAGGCAAGTTTATTAGCGGTTACTACCACAGCCATTGCCCTGTATACCCCAAACAGCTGTAAAATGCAGCTTGTGCCTCCCAGTGGCAAGCTGTTCACCGTATAAGAACAATAAAGAAATGAAGGTCAGAAGGTTAACACCATGCCCAGCACGTAAGATGCTTGTAACAAATAGTGGTGATGTATAAAGCTATAGATATGGCTACAGAAACACACACACGAGATTGGCACCAAGGCATCCTCAAATCCCTTCTTGCTAGAGTCAATGGTTGCATGAGTTTTGCTCCACGTGAAATGATGCACACTGGGTAGTAGTCTCTCCAGGCACACCTTCTCAAGGAGCTTACATAATAGATGGACAGCATGCCTGTTTTCAGAATATTCAAAAGTATGTATATGCATATGCTGTGCATAAGGTCACTGGGTTGAAACTCTGGAACCTAATAACAATATATACATATGTATGCGCTGGAGTCAGTTCTGACTCACAGTGGCCCTATGTGTACTATAAAAGGAAACACTGCCCGGTCTTGTCTGCACCACCCTCACAAGTGTTAGGTTTGAGCCCACTGTTACAGCCATTGTGTTCATCCATCTTGTCAAGGGTCTTCGTCGATTGCCCTGTCCCTCTACCAAACATGATGTCCTTTCACAGGGACTGTTCTCGCCTGGCATGTCCAAAAACCTGAGAGACAAAGTCAACCTCACCTCTACGGAGCATTCTGGCTGTACTTCCCAGACAGATGGGTGGGTTCTTTGGCAGTCCATGATACTTTCAATCTTCTTCCCTAGCACCCTAATTCAAATGTATCCGTTCTTCTCTGGTCTTCCTTATTCAGTATACAACTTTCACATTCATAGGAGGCAATTAAAAAGAGCAGGCTTGGGTCAGGTACACCTTAGTCCTCAAAGTAACATCTTTGCTTTTCAACACGTTAACGAGGTCTTCAACAGATTTGTCCAATGTAATATGTGTCATTTTGTCCCTTGACAATATCATGTTTCCATGAACATTAATTACAGTTCCAAGGATGACAAGTCTTTGACAATGCCAACTTTTCTCCATTTATCAATATGTTACCTATTGATCCAGTTTGAGGATCCACACTGAAGACTGCAATCCTTGATCTTCATCTGCAAATGATTCAAGTCCTCATTTTCAGCAAGCAAAGTTGTGGCATTTGCATATTTCAGGTTGTTAGTAAGCCTTCCTCCATTTC